AACAAGAGTATTTTTATTATATTTGTTCAAAAAATTCATTATATTAAGAGTTCGCTATATCAAGAGTTGACTGTAAATCTTTACATCTAAAAAAATAACATATTATATATTAAAATAAAATTATTTTAATAACTTTTACTAATGTGATTTTTATATTTGTTAAAATTTATAAAAAATAAGTTTTATTCATGATTTTTGCATTCATTAAAAAATTATAAAATATACATTTTATTTGTATTTTTTATATATTTTTTTTTCTCACTTTTTTTCATATTAAGTTTAAGGTTTTACTTAAAAAAAATATGTATATTATACTAAAATTTCATAAAAATTATTTATTATAAATCTTAATATTTTTATATATATATATTAAAATTAAATTAATTTATTCTTCAATTTCAATTATATCATATATTATAATTAGTATTTTTTCATTTAAATTCATTAGAAGTTTAGTAATTTTGATAATTTTGGTTTATTGCTTTAAAATTAAACAAAGTAAAAATTAAAAATTAATCAAAAATTTGTTTTTAAATTTAAACTTTAAACTAGTTAATGGAAAAAAGAAACAATTTATTTTCTTTTACAAAACTTATTATTTTAAAATGAGTTAAAAATAATTTTTCATGTAATATAATAACTAAAATAATTCATCTATTATGATTAATATTGATGTTTAATTGCATTAATATATAAATTCTTAATTAAAAAATATAAAAGTTTATATTTTTTTTAAAAAAAAATAAATTAAAATAATATAGCAGCATTTAGATTATAATATTATAATTATACTAGATATATATATTTTTAATTTATTAAACTTTAAAAAAATCTAAAACTTTTTTATATGTAATATTATAAAATATAAGTTGTTAGTTTAAAATAGAGGTTGAAATCAGATTTGATATTTAGATTTCTGATTTTTAAAATTAAGTAAATCAGAATATAAAACTAATCTAATTTAATTTCTATCATTATTATCTTCATAAGATAATTCTTCTAATTTTTCAACAAGCTTCTATGTTTATAAATTTAAAATCTTATTTGTGATTTTACTATTTAATATAAATAAATCTATTAAACCTATCAAATTTTATAAAGTTATTATTGAAATTGCCAAAACTTTTAAAATTCATCAAAATCCATTAAAATTATCAAAATATATTAAAATAATAAAATTTAAATATAAATTATAAATCAAAATAATATTAATAGTAAATAAAATTAAAAAATAAGCATTTTTATAAAATAGAAATAAGTTTATTAAAGTAAGTAAAATATAAATTAATATAAAAAGATATTAATATGAATTTAAATAATCTTTATATAATATTTAAAATATTTAAATTAATAAGATAATTATTAGTATAAATTAAAACTTATTAGCTAAAATAAAATTCTGAAATATTAGAAGTTATTTTATTGATTGAAATTGAATTAATATTAAAAAAAATTATTTAATAGTATAAATAATTAATATTAAAATATAAATAAGAAAGTATATAATAGTGTTTTTATATAATATATATATTATAAATAATAAATTCTTATAGAATTTTCTATTTTAGCTTATATAAATATAAGTTAATAAGATTTTTAAAGAAATAATTTTCTGATATTTAAAATTTTGTAAGTTAATAAGTCCTTTAACAAAAGTTAAAATAAAATTTAATAAAATTATTTGATAAAATACATTATTTTGAATTTTGAAGTTTTTTAAATGATTGATAAAATATAAAATACATTGTTAAGAACCATATATAACTTAAAAAAACTATTATAAAATTCTAAAAAAAACTAACTTCTAAATAAATATATCCTATTAATAAATATAATAGATAATGGCATTTGTGATTTATATTTAATCACGTGATAATCCTTTTTATTTTGTCGATCTTTTAATGTTAAAATGTGATTAAAATGTGTAAAGTCAAAGCGATGTTCTTAATTTCAATAACAAGATCTCAAATTGCATCATACGAAATAAATTATTTACGCAAAAATAGATGTTTTATTAACGAATAGCCATTAGTCTGAAATGATTATATAGAAAGTACAAGAATATGCAAAATAAATTACAAAGCAATTCATCCATTAAATTTTTTTCCCAGCAAAGAATAATTGTTATATAATGTGCTATTTACCAAACCAAATACTTATATTAAGAGCTTTTTCCACTGCATGTATTGGCGATCCTATGGAATAAATTGCAATATTTGTAGATAAATTCCCATGACCCATTGCTATAACTGCTCCACTTTTATTAAACCATATACTACCAGAATCCCCTTCTTCCGTAAATACTCCATTACTCTTTACTGTAATTTGTCTATCTAACCATTTAGGAGGAAATACAGTTTTCTCCTTATGTTTGATAGCTTCTAAAAGGAAACGCCCAAATATTCTCTCCTGTTGGTAAAATATGTTGTGAACTCCACTTAACAAAACTGATGATGAAATTGTTTCTTTTATCTGTCCAATAGTCAGTCCGGATGTTCGTCCAACTTTTAATACAGGTTGCGAAATATCGATTGAATCAAGGTTGTTGATAATATCTATGGTACATGAAAGAGTAATAGGTTCATATGACAGTAGTTTAAATGTGGTGTTCGATATGCAAAAACCTTCTGGATCAAAGTTTCGAAAGTTACCATTGCTTGTTAATACTAGTGAAGCTACGGCGGCATCAACTCCATAATTTTTGCCATCAATTTCATAATTATCACGAAATCCTTTGACAAACGACCCAACTAATGTGTCCTTTTTATTCGCAATTTTAAGGTCGTTTTCAATCTTCTCGATTATTGTGCGACTTAAATTCGCTGCTTCTTTATCTTTAAATTTATACTGTGCTTTATTTAACATATCGGTTTCTTTTTCTTTTTCATATTTAAGCATTCCTACATAGTCAATATACGCCGGTTGATAAATTAATTCTTGTTCAGTACCATCGTTCAAACAGATGACATGTTTGCACGACAAAATATAGGTATTTTCCGTGCTATCTTTTGCAAATGCTCCTAAGGTTCCCGCACTGATTTTATTTGAGTTTCCAATACTACAGCCCGAAGCAATTATCGGCACATATCTACGACAATAATGCGAATCTGTGCCAGTGCCAGTTGTGTGATAAATTCCCTCTCGTACATCTGTTTCTATTCCATCAATAATTTTGGGAAAGTGTTGATCACCAAGGGGAATAACACCTTTGCGAATTACATAGAATACGATAGCGGGTCTCTCTTCATAACGACCGCGACTGACTTTCCAGTCTAATGCAATCGCGGTAAGATTTATGAATTTCGATCGAAATTCTAGTCCAATATGTGTATCGAGGATATTGTCAAATTTCTTTATCGTTTCCAGAGGGAAAGGAAGTTTCGGAGGATTAAATGGAAAATCATCTGTGAATGTTCCCCATGATATATATACTATTGGAAATTCTCCAATAAATTTCAACCGTTCCTCTGGAAGTCTGTCAACTACAACGTACAGATTTTGGTCTTCATAGATTGAAACTTCTGTAGAAGCTTTCTCGAACTCTTCTCTACCATAGAAGATGTCACGAACATTTGGGTCGTCTAGGAGAAGTTGCAATTCTTTTTTTATTTGCATAATGGAGTTGAAGAATAATATTTCTTCACAGAATTCTTTCCAAGACATGGATTTGACTTTCAGGTTGTTGTAAACTGAACCCCCTATTGACTTCGTGTCTATCATCGCTTGAATAAACTTCGAGAAAGAAGGGTACTCGCATCCATCGGCGACCAGAAATGGGCGACCATACATTTCTTTGAATGTTGCGGTATATGTTTTATCTTTGTATTTTAGCTCAACAAGGTCTCCTTTAGAAAAGCAACCTAACAAGTATGCTTGATTAAGTTTTCCATGAATAGCCCTAGGAGTTTCGATAATGATACTAACATGTCTTTCGGCCGGTTTGACAGGAAAATATTCTTTAATCCTCGTTGTCAGCTTCAGTTTTTCACTTCCAGGTTTATCCAATATACTTTCATCAGAGATTTTAAAGAAATACAAATTTTCGCTTTCAAATGGAATGTTGACCTTCCATAATTTAACATATCTACTGTTGACGCCAATAAATATGTTCGGTTGCTTTTCCATAATAATCTCTTTGAGATCACTAACTAACTTATCATTCTCGATCTCAATCTTAAAAATATTTTCATGAGGGTTTTCACCCGCCACTAGACAGAATAATGTAATAGGAGACATGTTTAAAAGTTGAAAGATTATTTAGCAATAAAATGCGAGAGTGAGTGTGAATGTGTATACATTATATTTATATCGTCAGTAACGTGTCTATGTGACACAGAAATACGTAATTATTTCACGTCCAATCAAAATTGAAGGATATAGGATAAACCAACACTATGAATAGTTAAAATTCTAATGTTGTGAAAAATTTTTACACCAATATGATTCACTTCCTATTAAAGAACTTATATTAGATGTAATAATTAGTTTTGAATTATTTGAGATTAGTTTTAAAGATAATTTATTTTATAACTAAGATTTTTAATTATTAATTATTATACCTATTATAATTATTAAAAGCTTTAAATAATACTGAAACTCCAGAATGAGAATTTCTTAGCCCTTACAGCCAATAAAGTTAATGGGAATTCATTTTCAAATTCTTCCATTTATAAGAAATGTTATTTCTGTCTGTTTTAGATCTTTAGGTAAAAGTATTATTAAAAGAGCTTAGTTGTTGGTAATTTCTGGGAAGATTAGTTTTTAAGTTAAATTTGCATTATTAGATCAAGGATATTAAGTGCTTCTAGTGACAATTTAGTTAAAATGTGCTGGACAAGCTCAGATAGTGAATGAAAAGTGGGGCTTTAATTATGATTCAAATCTTTACCTTGAAAGATAATCCTTCATTTTAAAGATTTGAGAGCGGTTTACTCTGGAGCAACTTGAATTAATAGTTGCTGAAGGAGCTTGTTGGGAGATCATCTTATAATTAAAAATTGTATTCTCAATTCTAAGGAAGTGTCAGCTAATATATATACTAAGTTTGACAAACCATAAATTTTACTGAACTAAAATTTGATGCATTATTTTGTGAATGGTTTTATAGCATTAGATATACCTTGAATAATTTTGAGATATATTACGCTAAATTAAATACTTCCCACATAATCTCATATGAATCTAATCATTTTTTTTTCAAGCATAAGATTAATTCAAGATTTAGCCTAATCGATAACTTATTGTAATGTTTAATTCTTGAAAGTTTTAACACCCAAAATATTCAGGTTGTAATTTGAAGATAAACTTTTTTGCTTAACATAATTTGGGTAGGTGAAAGCATGCAGTATTAACCACTAATATAATTTCTGAATATTTACAATATATTGATCCATAATTCTCATTAACTCACTGTTGTTTTAGTTCAATTTGATTAATATCATTTCAACTATTGAAGATGCTTCATTTGATTCATTGTTTAAATTGATAAATAAATTGTTAGCAAATTATTCCATTCATTAATCAAATTATAGTTTGCAAATATACAGAATCAGTTACTTTAAGATACACTAAAATGGTTTGAAGTTTTAGATATTACATTAAATAGTAGTACAAATAAGATTAAATTCATTGAATTAAGTAATTAAATCTTTATAATGTAACATTACAATTAGGATTAACAAAAGCTTCAGTTTGTTTGAGATGAAATCATATAGATATATTAAGTTAATGTATTTTAAAAATTAATCAATTAAAAATATTATTATAGATTAATATAAAACAAAAATTTAAATTTTGATAAAAAGGTCTTAGTATTCTATTTTCTTAGCAAATCTCTCATATGATTTTTAATATTATTAGATTTTACAGTACATATTAAACCTACTGATTTGATGCTATATAATTAATTTTATATCAATAATTCAAATTAAAATTAACTAGTTTACCTTTCAATATAATATAATAAGATCTTTTGACCTTTCTTAATACTATTAATATGAAATTATATTTTATCTTATGAGATTTTCAATATCAAATTATCCTTATACTTATATAATTATTATTTTTTTTTATAATAGATTTATGAAAATAATTCAAATGAAATTAGTGATATCATTAAAAATATAAACTTTAATAATTTTAATAATCAAGAAGATTATAATACTACTTTTAAATTTCAATACAAATTTAAATTAAACATTTTATTTTGGGTTAATACTATTATATTACACTATTATAAATATGGTAATCTTAACTATAAAGCTAAGAATTATTCTTCTCAAAAACCTTTAACTCATACTGATAATTATACAAATATTTCAAATTTATCTCTTATAGATCTTCTCATAAATTTAACAATTGATCAAATAATTATATTTTAAATATATAATCGAATTATATTCTTAAAGATTTATATACTAATATATTAAAAAATAGTTTTAATAATCCAAAACAACAGCCAATTTCAATTGATACTATATAGTTTTAAAAAATATTTTAAAACAGCTAGTTGATATTAATAACAAGCTAATTATTTTTGCTAATGAAGTTATTATTACAAAAAATAAAATTATTATTCTTTAAAAAATTAATAATATATTAACTATTGTCTAACTAAATTATAAAAATATAATAATATAGTCCATAATAAAAAAGTATATGATAGTGAAATAGATTTTGATAATTCTACTAGAGGTATACTCTGGTAAAATCCATTCAATCTGTCATCTGATCTAATCAAAAAATGGATTATTCAGATTATAAATAAATGAATTGCAGATAATTCAGATAGATTCATCAAATAACATCAGATTGATCAAAATAATCAGATTGATCAGATAATCTGATCATTTTATTTTATTTTATTTATTTTTTAAAAAAAAACTTACCTTTTTTTTTAGAATCAGACATGAATATGGACTTGGACTTCAGAATTTATTTGAATAGCTAAGATTAAAAGATATATTAGAATGGAGAGTAAATTCAGTTTTTTTTTGAAATGTTACTAACATTTCTTTCTTTTTTTTCTTTAAAAAACACCTTTTTGGATCTGGATTTTGACTTATATTATAAAGGTAAGTTAGGTATGAGTTTTTTTATTTTTTTTTTATCTTTCTTATCTTTAGAATGCTATTAACGATTCTTTTGCTTCTTTTCTTTAGAAAACACCTCCTAAATATGAATTTTGGCTGGGCTATAAAGGTAAGTTAGTGTTGTTATTTTTTCTTTGTTATTAAGAATATTATTAATATTCTTTTTGCTTCTTTTCTTTAGGAAATACCTTTCTGAATCTGGATTTTAGCTTAGACATGAAGTAAGGTAGTATAGGGTATTATTTTTATTTATTCTTTGTCTTTGAAATGCTATTAACGTTCTTTTTATTTCTTTTCTTTAAGGAATGCCTTTCTGGATCTGGATTTTAAGTTAAGCTATAAAGGTAAGATGGTTTAGGGAATTATTTTTATTTCTTTATCTTTAAAATGCTATTAATGTTCCTTTTTCTTCTTTTTTTATGGTTTTTTTTATTTTTCTTTGTCTTTAGAATGTTATTAATATTTCTTTTACTTCTTTTCTTTAGGGGACGCCTTCCTAAACCTGGATTTCAGCTTAAACTATAAAGGTAAGGTAATGTAGAGGATTGTTTTTGTTTCTTTATCTTTAAAATATCATTAATATTCCTTTTGCTGCTTTTCTTGTGAGATTTTTTGTTTTTCTTTGTCTTTGAAATGCTATTAATATTTCTTTTACTTTTTTTCTTTAAGGAATGTTACCTAGACCTGAATTTTAGCTTAAGTTATAAAGGTAAATTGTGTTAGGATTTTTATTTTCTTTTTTGTTATTAGAATATTATTACCAATTCTTTTGCTTATTTTCTTTAGAGAATGCCTTTCTAAACCTGAATTTTGTCTTAGACTATAAAAGATAAGTTTGGAAGGTATTTTTTCATTTTTTATTTATTTGTCTTTAAAAATCATTTACATTTCTTTTCTTTTTTTCTTTGAAATACTTTTTTGAATCTGAATTTTAACTTGAATTTTAGGAAGAAAAAATTTTATTTATTTATTTTCTATTTAGAACTTTTGCTTTTTTTTTAAAAAATAGAAATCTTTAAAATTATGAGTTTAGGTTTACAATAAGTTTTATAATATTTTAATAAAATAACAATTTATTTATATATAATAAATTATATAAATGATTGATTTAAAATATAAATAATTATTCATAAATACTTTTAACTTTAATTGCATTTCTTTTTAAAAATATTATACGTTGAAAAAGTTCTGAATTCATTATAGATCTTTTTACTAAAAGTAAATTTCCTACATCAGAAAATAATCTTTCTGATGGTGTTAATTTTGCAGAAATAGCTAAATGAATTCTTACTATTTTAATAAGAATTGGATACTTATTTTTATTATTTAATAACTAATTAAATAGATATTGATTAAAAGAAATCTTATTTTCTTTTAAATATTTTTCAATTTTATCAGATGCTCTTAGTTAATTTTATTCAAATATTAACAAAAGCTTAAGTTTATAAATTGATTTAAGATTATTAATAATTCAAATAGATTTGGAAATGAAAATTGAGATTCATTAGAAGTTGATAAATAATTTTTTTTATATTCTTCATATTTTTATGTAAAATTTCTTCTTCTTCTATTTTATTATTCATAGACTTAATTCTGAGATCAAGTATTATTGATATTAAGTAATCTTCAGATAAAACTTTTCAATAAAAACATATAGCATTATAAAATTCTTTTCTTACTTTATCTAAAAGATCTTTAGTTTCTAATGGTTTATCTAAATTAAATTTGTTATTTTTTATTTAATTATTATTATTTTCTAATATTTCTACTTCTTCTATCATAATAAATACATTAGTAGTATTTTCAATTTCTTGATATATTTCTGGTATATTAAAAAACTATTACAATTAATGTAAGTGATGTAAATGATGTAGATGATGTAGATGATATAGGTAATATAGATATAGATAAATTAGGTGAATTAGATAATAGTAAAAGTAATAAATATTTAATTTATTCAATTATTAGGTTCATAATACTATATGTAATATAACCAGTTGCTTTTTCAAATAGATCAAGTGTTATAACTAATTCTTGTAAAAGTTCCCATTCATCAGAACTTAACATGATTTTTTTGGTTACTTTTCATCTTTTTTTGCATTAGTATTTTTATTATTTACTAATTCTACAATTAGCATTTAAATA